TAATGGATTTTGTTTCTCACTTTAACCTAGATATTATTTTTCTATGTGAGACCAAAATCCAAGAAATTAAATTAAATTCTTTAATTAATACTCTACGCTATCCTAACTCTATTATAATTAATCCTAAAGGTTGAGCAGGCGGATTAGCAGTCATTTGGAAAGCTGTTATAAATGCTTCTGTGGTTTGGTCAAGTTCCAGGTATGTCTTCCTGAAAATTCAACCCACCTTTGAAAATTGGTTATTAGGTTTTATATATGCTCCTTCAGTTAAATATCAAAGAAATGCTTTTTGAGAGAATATAAATGTCTCATTACAAACAGTTGATTTTCCTTTTATTTTAATTGGTGATCTCAATAAAGCTGCCTCAATAGATACTTCTGATCCTTTTTCTTCTACTTCTAATATTAATCGTCTAACCTCTTCTCAATATAGAAATTTAATTTTAAATCATAACTTTCTAGAACTTAACCTTCAAAGTGGTGGAACCTCTTGGTCAAATAAAAGAACAGTGGATCACATCCATAGAACCTTAGATAGAGCTATCTTATCTCTTGACTGGCTTCAACTTTTCTCATATACCTCTCTTACTCTAGGGTCAAAATGGGGTTCTGACCACCACCCATTGTTTTTAAACCTCCACACCCAGCATAAAAAATTACCCAAGCCTTTCAGATTTTTTAAGATGTGATTATCAGATGATTCGTGTAAACAAATAATAGAGGAAGGATGGACTTATCAAGTTAATGGATATACAGCTTTTCGATTGACAAAGAAGTTGGATGGAATCAAGAAAAATTTAATTCAGTGGAGGAAAATTCATTTTGCTAACCCAAAAATAAAAATAGATAATTTGGAGAAACATATTATATAGGCTGAGCAGTTAGAAGACTATTCAAGGATCCATAGCATGTACAAACAATTAGAATAAGCAAATTGGCAATTAGAGAGCTTTTGGAGACAAAAAAATCTCGCCATACATGGCTTCATTTGCGTGACAAAAACACAATTTTTTTTCACAAAAGTACTCTCTGTAGGAGGAAAAAGAACTACATTGAAGGAATTATGGATAATAATAATCAATGGAAATCTAATCATCATGAGATAGCAAATATGTTGGTGGACTATTTTTCGGACCTTTTCTCTTCCAGAGAAACCTAGGAGATTGAAGACCTACAGTCCCTTTTCCCTCCAGTTATTAATCAAGAAGATAACTCAATGTTACTGAAGATCCCTTCTGAAGAGGAAATTAAATCAATTCTTTTGAGTATTGGCAGTTTGAAATCCCTTGGCCCAGATGGGATGCCAACTTTAGTCTTTAAGAAGTGTTGGGATTTTATGGGAACAGAAATTGTGCATGAATTTTTTAGGAATAAAAAAATGCTCAAAATGTTAAATCACATTTTTATCTGTCTTATCCCTAAAAAGATTGATTGCACTAAAGTCCAAGATTATAGGCCTATTCGCTTATTGAATGTCATTTACAAGATTATAGCTAAACTGATAGCTTCTAGGCTTCGTACTATCCTGGACAAATGCATAGCTCCCAAATAGGTAGCTTTTGGTTCCTGGTCATCACATGTCTGATCACACCATTCTTACCCAAGAAGCTTTTCACTATTTAAAACATAAAAAGTGTGGTACAGGCTATCTTGCTGTAAAACTTGACATGTCAAAAGCCTATGACCGCCTGGAATGGAATTTTCTTTTAAATATTCTATCTTCCTTTGGTTTCTTTGAGGATTCCTGTCAACTCATTAAGGAATGTTTCTCTTTGGTTTCTTATTCCATTATTGTCAATGGTACTTTTGAAGGTCATTTCTGTCCCACCAGAGGTTTAAGACAAGGAGATCCCTTATCTCCTTACCTTTTTATTCTAGTAATGGAAGGGCTGAGTCATTTCTTATTTCAAACTGAGGCTGAGGGCAAAATTCAAGGCATAGCCTTATCTTCAAATTCTCCATCTTTTTCACATATTTTCTTTGTAGAAGATGTTATACTTTTTTTAAGAGCTCATAGAGAAGACTTGGATAGTTTAAATTAAATTCTCTTTAAATTTCAATAAGCCTCTGGTCAACTAATAAATTTTGAAAAGTTTGGAGTCTATCGTAGTAAAAATATTCATCATCGACATCAACGCATGATCAAAAGACAATTTCATATAGGCTCCCTCAATCAGCACTCTAAATATCTAGGGATTCCTCTTCTTTGGTCCCGAAATAGGCATGCCCAACTTAGCTATATCCTGGATAATATGAAAGCTAAGTTAAATAATTGGAGAGCGTCTGCTATCAGTCAAGCTGGTAAAAAGATTTTAATTCAATCAATTCTTCATGCCCTACCTATTCACTCAATGAGTCTCATTCAATTCCCCCTAGAAAACTATACATCAAATAAGCAAAATAGTTAAAAATTTCTAGTGGAATACTTCAGAATCTTGAAAACATCGTTCTCGTTGGTGCTCTTGGAATACTCTTTTATTACCAAAAGCTTTTGGTGGTTTGGGCTTCAAAAATCTCACTTTGGTAAATCATGCCCTTCTCAAGAAAATTGCTTGGAAATTCTTGAATGAACAACATAAACTCTGGGCACAAATTTGGAAATCCAAATATCTCAAACCAAAGAATATAATTCCTTACACCACTTCCTCTACTGCATCTATTTGTTGGAAATCTATATGTCCAAAAATTAGAAAATTAGCATCTAAAGTAGGATATCTAGTCAGTAAAAATTCTGATTTCCTAATCTCTAATTTTCCTTGGATTAAAAAAAAAAACCAAACATTCCACTAGATTCCCTTTCCCATTTCTCATTACATGAGAAATCTTAACATATCTTCTCTCATTTCTAAAGGTCAGTGGAATTCTCTAGTAATTCATCAAAACTTCACAAGAGAAGAGGGTAAGGAAATTTTACAAACCCCATTTTTCCTCTCAATAATAATCTTCATTGGATTTGGACACAACATCATTCTGGAAAGTATATAGTTAAGGAGGAATCTAAAATCAAACAGAAAATTTCTACTCCTCAACTTTCAGATTATTTTAAATTTTGTTTATTTTAAATTTGCAAGTTGACAGTTCCTCCAAGGTATCAGCTTTTTATATGGCGAGTTCTCAATAACTTTGTTCTTGTGAAAGCTTCTCTCTTTTCAGAACCTAATGATAAGGTGTGCATTCTTTGTGGTCAATCTGAAGAAACTACTGCTCATCTTTTTCTAAATTGCTTTTTTGCTTGAGCAATCTTATTTGGTAATCCTTGGAATCTTAACTTAATCATTACTTCTCAACATTCTTGGACTACCTACTTTATAAATCTTTATAATCAAATTGCTGATAATCAATTCTACCTCCCAGTTTTAAATTGGATTGCAATTGCCTGTTATTATGCTTAAATTGGATCTATGAAAATAAACAAATTCTTCCCTTGCAAATATCCTTTCTATAGTCAACAAAATTTTTCAAAATTTCTCACAGAATTCATCACTAGAAAATATGTTGCACTCTCCCTCTCACAATAATATTTTAAATCTGTTTATCAATTGTATTACTGAACTAATCATTTTTACTAATGTAGGCAAAATTTCTGATTCTTCCTTTACTTTCGGCATTGTGATTTTAAATGCAAATCTTCAATGTTTAAAAATTATCGGAGGACGAACATCTCATTCTTCTACTATTAATCAAGCAGAACTCTTTACTATCTTGCAGCAGGTCCTTTTGGAATTACAAGATTGGAGGCAAAAAGAAGTTTGCATATGCTTTGATAATGTACAAGTTATATAGGCTCTAGGCTCTCTGCACAAGAACTCTCTCCTCTACCTTGGTTCTACCACCGGCTTTTGTTAAGAACCAAAACTTTAATTTCCATGTTAAACCTCCATACTACTTTTCAATATGTAAATAAAACTTTTAATATACCTGCTCACGAGGTATCCCTACAGGCAAAAACTCATCCTTTGTCTTATTTTGAATATGAATGAAATTCCAAGAGTTAGAGAAGTTTGTACATATTTCTATTTTGTTTATCTTTAAAAAAAAAGTACATAGTTTAATTTGATAAAAATATTAATCATATAAATACCCTTCACTCCCCAACAACCAATATTCACGTGGCATTTCTTAACGTACTCTCGGGGCTATGACATGACATCATAGGCTAGGACCAAGGACCAAAGACCAAAGACCAAAGACCAAAGACTTGAGTCTCCTTACCTTGTATTAAAAATTTAAAAATCTTTTATTTGGCAAACATCTTAAAATAAATAAAAATTTAAAATCACGCAAAACATTCCGGATTGATTCCACCGCCGCGTCATAGGCCACAATGCCATCAGCCTAAGATGCCGTTGTTTACAGGACATTCACCATCGTCTATAAACCCTACAGGTGGAGCCCATGAGACGTAATACACGTGTCGCTTTTTATTGGATGTATTGACTTCAAGAGAAAGAAACCGTTGTCTGAGAGACTCTGATCTGATGTTACTGAGGAACACGTCTATGGGTAAAGAGAGCACGGGCACGTAGGTACGACCGAGCACCGTGAATCTCTGACGTGTGTGACGTCCAATACTACCCATTCTTAACCTATCAGAAACCGCACGATTCAGTACACGTGCGACACGCACGTACTCCAATGGCTTGTAACCTCCGCAGCTTTAATTTTTCAAAAATAGTCTATAATATAATATAGAAAAAATATGATATGAAAAAAATTTTGACCAATCAAAATCCATTCATGAATTTTGATAAATCACACCATGTTCTAACCACATTTATGATTCTGGTTTGTCGGTCGATTGTTTTTCAGTAATCATATCTTTTCCATATATCATAGTGAACCCTTTTAATTTTATTTTTATGAACGTATTCGGCGCTCCAAAATCAAATCGAAACCCCACAAAAATAAAACACGAAAATCAGAAATTATAAAATTAATTTTTTTCCTGAATTTAGATAGAGAGAGAATGAAGATTGAAGAGAGAGAAGACTAGAAAGAGAAACTAGAGAGAGAGGGGCAAAATAACACGCTTGTGTGTGTGAGTAGGAGCGACCTGGATTAATAGGAGGAGGGCAACTAAAGACTGCCCGTCAGATCAGTAACAATTTCGTCAGACGGACCCTGCTGATTCTTGTGGGCGCAGTTTAACCTGATACACCTGCACAATTCACAGTAGCATTTGCTGTGTTTTGTTTCTATTAATCTCTGCTTAACTATATTTTCGTTCTTTTCTTCTGCTTCGTAAACGTCTGTGGCATGGGATGAAATTCTGGAACGGGGAGTTATTGGGGGAAGAACGAGATAAACCCTAAGTTCATGTGGATGAAACTCCAATTCTGGAATTGAATCTGATCGATTGCGAAACGGGTTTTGGTCTGATCGGTTCGGCAATGACGAGGCGGAAGGAACGGATCCTGAAGGAGCTGTACGACATAACCGAGAAGATTGCGGAACCGGAGGCATGTAAAGATGCTGTCTTTTGCAGTCTTTCTGGGTTCAGTTAGGGTTATTGGATTCGTTTATTAGTGTCTCCGTGGAGTTTTGTGTTGTTTGATCGTGCTCCTGGAATTCAAGTTTTGATTTTTATTGGGTTTTGTTATGAAAGTGAAGTTTTTGGGGTTCGATTTCATTGGAATTTTTTTATAAATATGCTGTCTTGGATTATTAGCTGCTTAATTAATTAATCGTCGTTCGTATTAGGGTTTTCCAAGGTGGAAAAAGTCGGCTAAATTTCTAGAATTTACTAGTTTTAATTGTTTTGTTTTGGTATTTTGATTACTCAGGGAATTGAAATTATCGTTTTGAGTAGGTCGTGGGGGCATTTACTGATTTAGTTCTGTAGAATGTGCATGTTCAATTAATCATCGTTAGAGTACCTGTGAATGCTTTTGTATTTCGATCGCACCGGCATTACTTTCAAAGGCATGCTCTTCTTTTGGCGGTTCAGTAATTATAATTGGTCAATGTCATCTAGAGGTTTTGTATTTGTTATTGGAAATGGTATTGGGGAGGATGATTTGTGGCGAATTCCACCTTCTTTTTAGATAACGCCAGTCTTGAAAGGGAGTTGCCGAATACAAGGACCTGTTGATGATGCAGACCATGACATTCAGATGAATACGGTGAGACATCATTGACATTAACAGGGTAATTTCATTTTCAGATAATCTCATCTGTTAATTTTTGCTCAAACCTCTTCAGCTGCTTCCACGTTGCCCTCGTGCAGAACTTTACAAGTTTAGTTCATATCATTTTGACATTTCTTAATCGAAGTGTTGAGTTCCTGAAACAGTAATAACTTCTGTATTTTTATGTAACCTTTGGTTGTTTATGCACAAACATGCAGGGAACCTGATCTTAATTTCTTAATGAAGTTATTTTAGTTTGAATATGAACTCAGTTTAGGAAGTTGTTGCCCCTCCCCTTACCCCAGCCATCCTATGATCATGCATGCGAGAGGTTATATATTGGGTTTCAAAAAACATTTGGGAACCCTCTACTATTAAACTATTTCTCCTTGTGGGTGTTTGTGCATGTATATTGAACTATTGAGCGATTTGTCTTTTGAATGAAAGATGTGCTTGTGAAGTCTGTTGTGTTAGTTGACCATTTTATGTCCCATTATGGAACTTCCATAGTCATATGTGCAATACATGGTTCATTTACATTTATAGTAGTAGCATTTCCATAGTAGTAGCACAAAGCAATCAATTCATGTGAGGAGAGCGTATAGCCGTAGAATAGTTTTCTTTATGTGGTATTGGATATTGTGGTTGTCTACTTGAGTTCTTTGTTTTCTAAAGATTAGGTTAGCTTATAGCAGTTTAGCTATTGGTATGTAGAAAGAATGTTGGGTTCACTTTGAATATCTTTTTATGAATCAGTTTATTTTGTAATAATATATCTTTTCTTCCTCCTAAAACAAGATTTTGTCTACCAGAAATTCCCAATTTATTCATGAAAAGTTCAAGATGCTAAAAAGTTGTCTTTAACCTGTATGACTGTACTATCTACTAGATCACCAACTTTTCCACTATCCTACCTTATGGTTGGTTGGTCCTAATTTTTGAAGAGGATATATTGTTTACTCTCCATAGCTAACAGTGGTAGTTTTTTTTTTTTTTTTTTTTTTTCCTGATAAGTAAAAATAAAATTTCATTAAAGGGAAAAAAGGATACATAATAGGAGGGTGATGGAATATCACCAAACAACCACAACAAAAACAAAGACTACTTATCTTCAAAAATCCAAAATACAGATTTGAAATCCAACCCCTCCCATAGCTTTCACCAGAATCAAACACCTGACCTTAGACAACTCAGAGTAAAAGACTCAACCAAACTGTGACATAAAATAAGTAGACACCATCAGTTTGTCCTGCTTCTAAACTTTGACAACAAAAAGGACTCTCTTCTTTTTCTAACCAGGTTAAAACAAACTTGAAATATATCCTTGAAGGCAAAATATACGAACCCGCTCACCATAACTTGAAACTTCTGCTAAATCTCTTAACTTCCCCCCCATCTATGGCCAATACAAACAACCCCCATCACTCTTCATTCACAATTTCCTCTTCTCCCCCTTCACCTTCCTCCCAAACCTCATCCCCTTCCCAAGTGCTATCGTTTTGTTATAATCTTCCCTTCTGTTTTTTTATTCCAAAATGTTCAATTGCCTTTCTTACCACTGCTTCCACCCCCAAAAAGAACAGGTTGAGAGACTTCTCGATTGCTAGCTCTCTGTCCACTAGTTGATGAATTCCCACTCTCCCCTTCTTAGAGTTACCATCCTTTGAAATCTCTTCAACTCCAATCCCCTCTGGTTCCCCTTCCTCTTCTTCCTCAATATGAACTTTTGTGGCTACAAATTTTTTCAAAACTCCTATTCTTTCACCTTTCGTCAATCCATCATCAGCCACCTCTGCCACTTCCTCCTCAAGGGCCATCCCCAACAAGCTCTTCCTTAAGATGATGAAAACCGTTGGTCACATGAACAAGATGCCCATTTCCCGATTCTTTTGACTTTCTCAACTCCCATGTATTAAGAGTGTCATTAATAAGATTTTTTTTTTCAAAACTCCTTCAGTCCTTCTCCTACCTAAATAGTAAATCCACCCCTATTTTTCCTATTAAGACCGAGTCCCTTAAATCTTCCTCCTCGTACACCTGTTCAAAATCCACTACACGTATCTCCTCATGATTCCAGATTCAACTCCTTGCTGCCACCTACCAAACCCTCTAGAAAACACCTTACTCTTTGGGGCCTTGCCTAGAGCACTTAAGCCACCAACCTCATTCTTGACTGGTTTAGAGGAAAAACCTGTTGCTGAAACCAAAGAACTATCCTCTACCATAGCCCTACCTTGTAAGACACTATCATCAATAGCTAGTATTAGCGCTTGAGATTCATGTGGGACCTTATCTGAGCCTATTTTCAACCTTCAAAACTTTCAGACAATTTGACGAGCACAGATCTTTAGTGCAAACAAACTTTGTGGTCACCCACTCTCAAACCTCAATCTTCCTCTTTCCTAATCCCATGAGAGATCTTAAGACATGATTTTTAAACCCTAGTGGATTTTTTGCCTTCAATTACTTAGGTGGTGTTCAGTGGTGTGGATGCACCACGATATATTATGTTTAGAAATGCACAACACCAAAACCTACTGTTGGGTTGCATTGTGGTGTGGATCAAGCCACACTATATCGTGGATTGGTCTACACCACAAGCCAAAATATCGTCCATGGTTATTTCTCGTGGATAGGTCCACGCTACCGTGGACATCTATTTCCAACTTGATCCCATACTTTGCATTACTCTGTGACTCCTCTGTAGAGGGGGCACTGGGATGGAAGCAATAATTTAAAAGGTGGGCCTAGGCACATAGGTGAGGTGCATACCAGGTCCTAGGCGCACCCCTTTCAAAAGGTGCACGCCTGGTGTGCCTAGGCGTGCGCCTAATGCACCTTGTGCCTCAGTCCAGACGCACACCTTTTAAAAATTTTGCGCTTTTTGCTATTTTTTGAGTCTAACGGTTGGGCTGTCTCCGCCATTGGACCCCTGACCATGCCCCTTGAGGCAAGCCCGAACAGGCTCCGAGAACCCCCTATTTGCTAATGTTGTTCATTCATTCATTGCAATAAAATATCTTCTTAAAAGGCAATGAAAGTTATAAAATCATTATTTTTAGGTGAGAAATAAGAATTTCAGATCCTCACATAGACTTGTTCGGGCTTGCCTCGAGGGGCGTGGTACAAAGGTGACTCATAGAATCAAGAATGCAATATGTTTTACATCACATTAGCTACTTGAAGCAATGCAATTAAGGAAAAAAAAGAGATTGTGGGTTTTACATGCTTGAAAATGCTTTATATGTTTGCTTTTATTATTAAATTTTCATTTGAATACGCTTTACATGTTATGTTTATGTATTTTAATTTTAGATAATAGGTTTTTTAAAACATCTATTTTAAAATTTAAGTTTATATTTTCATTAATGTTATGTTTAATATTTTTGAAAATTTTGCCATTTTTTTATTTTTTTTTATTTTTTAGCTTTTTTTTTGTAATTTTGTGCCTTGCTTAAAAAGGCGCACGCCTTGTGCCTTGCGCTTTTAAAACACTGGATGGAAGGGGTCTACTGCAACAAGTGTTTTCCACCCACCACCTCCCTACAGGACTCTGGATGGTGAAAAGATGGCCTCTGGCGAGGGAAGCAACTACAGTTCAAAGCAGAGGCAGGATGTTCTTGATATTGATCAAAACGTGGCTGAAGTTGACAACGAGGTCATTGATATGGCACTGATGAAACAAATGCCAGTATCTTCTGGCCTTCTTTCTGGGGAATCTTCCACTGAAGTGAGTTCAAGAAGGGCAGAGAGACTCAAGCTGGACTTGAATCGTGTTGATGAAAATGTAGATGCCCCATCAGCAGACTGGAGGATGGATGAAAAATCCCCTTATCATCACCGTAATGGCAATCAAAGCTCGTCTCCTTCCTCATCAAGACAACCTTCAATGAGGAATAAACTTGAGTTATAGCTTTTCTGTCTTTGATGATTCTCATGATCGATGTGCTGAGATGAAATCAACTTACCAAATTCCAAGGCATGAATGGTCCTGTCATCTCTATCATGGGTACAAAAGTGGATGTTAATAAAAGGAGTTTCTACCTCCAACTCGGTTGTTCTTGCCAAATGGGCACGTTGCTGAATATGTGATGGGAACCAATTCAGCAAACTTAGGTAGTGGCATTGTAGCATATCCAGTGATGACATATACACCCACACCTCCGGTGTTTAGTTACAGTGGCCTCACGTGGGGCCTTCTATATCTCTTTCACCAGTTATGTATGGACCTGGCTCTGTTCCATACATGGTTGATTCAAGGGGAGACCCTGTGGTGCCACAGATAGTGGGCTCTCCAGCCTCCGGCCCCTCTTACTCCCAACCATCATTCATTATGAGCATGCCCGGCCCTCCATCAGGGTTGAATGGTGTTGGGCCATCACATCCAGGCCTTGATTTGAATTCAGGTTTAACAACAGTCAAAGCTGAGAGCAGGGAATTGGGGGGCTCCCAGCAACTAATTATTTTGGAGTAAAGAGGAACAGATAAAGCCTGCATCATGGTCATTAAGTTCAGGAATGGTAGTGAGGCGGAAGGAACCTGATGGTGGGTGGGACTCATATCCAGGTGGTAACAAACAACAACGACCATGGAATTAGAGTTTTTTCTTTTGAATATTATTTTTATTAATATAAATAATTATTTTTATCAATTAATGTTATCAATAATTAATAATTAGTAAGATTACTTATTATTAATTAATAAGTTTCAAATATTAATTTTATTCATATTAATAAGATTTTTAATTATTATTATATATTATTAATAGTATTGTTAGTATTATCAATTATCATTAATATTATTACTCATTTTTAATTATTATTAATATTATTATTTGTTATTTAATATTATTAACATTGTTTTTATTAATTATTAATATTGTTAGCAGTTTACTAATATTTCTCTATTATGTATACTACTAAAAAAAATTATTGTTTTTAATGTTTAACGACATAGATTATCTCAAGCATTGTAATCGAGATGCATGGAATCATAACACTGGGTGTGGATTGAAAATAC